GTGCACTCCAAGTTGCCCCTCTTCTTTGCTTCCTCAAGACCGACCTCCACCAGCTTGGCAGCAATGCCGCGACGCTGGTATGCTGGATCAACAGCACAACAGTCCAATGTAAAGATGGCGGGTGGATTGCGGCCTGATTTCTCGACCTCTCGCATGTATGCGATACGTCGTTTCCATAGTGAGTTGAACATTTGCGTTGCAAACCGCCGTTTCTGGTCGTCGTAATCAGTGAGAGCTTCCTCCATGTCGCCGTAAAACGGGTCGCCATAGCCTTCCACAAACGACAGCTGCTTCCAGATGGCGATTCCAGCAACTCGTCTTTCGCCTTGCCTATCCGGATCAGGCACGGTGGCCTTGAGATAGAGAGCATTGGGTTGTCCATCTTTGTTGGTGGTGATGGATTGCCATCTCTTCATCAGGATCTGAGCTTGCTTCGCCTGCCCTTCTTCCGTGTCCCAGCCGGGTGTCATCAGTTGCCATAGGGCATCTTTGGCTTGGTGGCCGAAGGCTTCGGAAAGACAATGCTGCGCTTGCCTAAAGTCTCGTTCTGTCTCGCATGGAGATACAATGACGTCGTTATTCGCGGTCATGTTGAAGGTGAACAGAAGTCGTGTGAGTGTAATTGTACTTTACGTGGAGTATGTTGGGGAACACGGCGGATTTATGTCTGGGGTTAGTACACTAGAGTCGAATGACTAAAGACCCATAAAACGCCATCGCCTACAAGTCTCGCGGACAGCTCTGCTGATGCCTAGTCCTTGGCATAGCATCCCAATGTAGTATCGCATCCTGATGAAGAAGACGAGTATCAGAGTCAAAGGAAACAGCGTTATGGCGCAAGTCCAGTGTAAGGCTTTATGTGACTGGGGTCGTGAACGACATGGTAACAAGGCTGCAGGTAATATCTAGAGGCGAGCTAGTGAGGAGATTTGAATGCAAATATTGAAATGAGCTCACTGAGGAACCCTGGACGTTGACGCGTGTGCGTGGTGATGCAAAGGGTGCGGAGAGGGTTGGGATGGGAGCGTGGATGGCAGGCGACGGCTAGCGTGGCGCAAATCAATTAGCAGGGATGACGCGCTCGCGCCTGCGACACGCTTTCGCGTTCTCCCTGGGCGCCTTCCATCTACTCCACCAACAACAAACACACACCCACCAACCCTCCCTTATCACGCGCTTGGGTGTTGTATCTGTCGGCCACATATTCAAGATGCCAGGAGCCGTCACAAGAGCGCCGGCGAAGCGCGCCCTCGCCGAAACATCCAGCACACGCACCAATGTGCAGCCGTCGCCCCACTCGTCCAAGAAGCTGAAGCTCCAAAATGGCAATGACAAGAGTAGACCGCCAACCAAGACGGTCAATGGCTCCTTCAACTCGAGCCAGGTGGGCCCGAGCCAGTTCGAGGAGACGCTGGAGAAGATGACGCAGGACATGGAGACGCTGAAGAAGGACAACACAGAGAAGGACCAGCAATGGCGGCGGCCTGCCTTGCCCGAGGACTTCAATGAGATGACGCAAAACCTTGTCTTCCAACAGATCGAGGCTGAAGAGGGCGTGTTAAATGGCGGGAAAACAACCGTCAAGCTCTTTGGTGTCACAGAGGTGAGAAGCGTGCACATGGTATATATCGACTTTGACTGACCGTATATCATAGACTGGCCACTCCGTCCTCATCCACGTCACTGGCTTCCAACATTACTTCTACGTCGCCGCGCCGCTCAACTTCCACAAAGAAGACTGCGAACCGTTCAAGGTCTTCCTCGAGAGCGAATGCCAGAAGAACTTCAACCAACACTCGGCTGTCATCGCGTCGGTACAAATGTGCATGAGAGAGAACATCCTGCGCTTCCAGGGCAATCAGAAGAGTCCATACCTCAAGATTACAGTGACTGATCCGAAAATGATCAATCGCGTGCGGATGATGGTGCAAAAGGGCAATGCTAACTACAAGCGCCTCTGGCCGGCCAGAGAAGACGGTATCCTCACGTTCGACAACATTGCCTACGTACTGCGCTTTATGATCGACACCAAGGTCGCCGGTATGTGCTGGGTCGAAGTTCCAGCAGGCAAATACAGAATGATCAGCCCCCGCGACCGACACTCCAACTGCCAGATTGAGGCACAACTACACTACAGCGATTTGATCGCCCACCAATCTGAAGGCGAATGGGCCAAACTCGCCCCCCTTCGCATCCTCTCCTTCGATATCGAGTGCGCTGGCCGCAAAGGTGTCTTCCCAGAGGCCAATGTCGACCCCGTCATTCAGATCGCAAACGTCGTTACGAGATACGGAGAGCCGAAACCCTTCGTCAGAAACGTCTTCTGTCTGGATACAGTCAGCCCGATCGTTGCGACACAGGTCTTGTCATTCCAAGATGAAGGCGAGATGCTGATGAAGTGGCGAGACTTCGTAGAAGAGGTCGACCCAGACGTCATCATCGGCTACAACATCAACAACTTCGACTTTCCGTATCTTCTCGATCGCGCAAAACATCTCAAGTTGCAGAAGTTCCCGTATTGGTCTCGTCTGAAGACAGTACAGTCCAAGGTAGAGAGCTCGAATTTCTCGAGTAAACAACTAGGAAACCGAGACACGAAGACTACTAACACCAACGGTCGTCTCCAGCTTGACCTGTTACAGCTCATTCAGCGAGACCACCAACTGCGTAGTTACACGCTGAACTCGGTGTGTGCTCATTTCTTGAAGGAGCAGAAGGAGGATGTACATCACAGCATGATCACTGAACTGTTCAACGGCGACTCCAACTCCCGGCGACGATTGGCTGTATACTGTTTGAAGGATGCCTATCTACCGCAGCGATTGCTCGACAAGCTCATGTGTCTGGTCAACTATACCGAAATGGCTAGGGTTACAGGTGTGCCTTTCAATTACCTTCTGGCCCGTGGACAACAAGTTCGCTTCATCAGCCAGCTCTTCCGTAAAGCCCTCGACCATCAACTCATCGTTCCGGACCTTCCGAACCAAGGCGACAGCAGTGACCAGTACGAAGGTGCGACCGTTATTGAACCCAAGCGCGGCTATTACAAGGAACCTGTCGCGACCCTCGATTTCGCATCGCTATACCCCAGTATCATGCAGGCCCACAACCTGTGCTATACGACCTGGCTCGACAAGCAGACGGTGGAGAAACTCAAGATGAAGAAAGACGAAGACTACATTGTGACACCAAACGGTGACATGTTCTGCACAGCGAAAACTCGTAAGGGACTCTTGACCGAGATTTTGGAAGAATTGCTGGGTGCGCGTAAGAGGGCGAAGAAGGAGTTGGCGATCGAGACCGATCCTTTCAAAAAGGCTGTGCTCAACGGTCGTCAGTTGGCCTTGAAGGTCAGCGCCAATTCGGTTTACGGTCTGACAGGTGCTACCAACGGAAAGCTACCGTGTCTTGCCATCGCCAGTAGTACCACGAGTTTCGGTCGTCAAATGATTGAAAGGACCAAGGCAGAAGTCGAGGCAAAGTACAACATCGCGAACGGATACACACACGACGCAGAGGTCATCTACGGTGACACAGATTCCGTCATGGTCAAGTTTGGTACATCTGAACTAGCAGAGGCGATGAAGCTGGGTGAGGAAGCTGCGGACTACGTCTCTTCGAAGTTCGTCAAGCCAATCAAGCTGGAGTTCGAGAAGGTCTACTTCCCCTACCTGCTCATCAACAAGAAGCGTTACGCTGGTCTCTACTGGACGAATCCACATAAGTGGGACAAGATGGACACGAAGGGTATTGAGACGGTCCGCCGTGATAATTGCCGCCTGGTCCAGACTGTCATCGAAACTTCGTTGCGCATGCTCTTGATCGACCAGGACCCAGAAGGTGCCCAAGAGTAAGTCATTCCGCCATCTTCGCACTTTCGTCTACTAACATTGGATAGATTCGTCAAGGAGACCATTGCGGATCTGTTGCAGAACAAGGTGGACATGTCTAATCTCGTCATCACTAAAGCCCTTACCAAGCAAGAGAACAAGGACGGAACAGGTGGTTACGCCAATAAGCAAGCACACGTCGAGCTCGCTGAACGTATGAAAAAGCGTGACGCCGGTTCAGCGCCTGCTCTAGGTGACCGTGTCGCCTACGTCATGATCCGAGCCGCCACCGGTGCGAAGAATTTCGAGAAGTCTGAGGATCCCCTCTTTGTCCTCGAAAACAATTTGCCCATCGACACGCGTTACTACCTTGATAACCAACTTGCGAAGCCACTGGGCAGAATCTTCGAGCCTATCCTAGGTGAGAAGAAGGCAGCCTCGTTACTCACGGGTGATCACACACGTTCCATCACCGTCGCGGCGCCCACGATGGGTGGTTTGATGAAGTTCGCCAAGAAGACATCAACATGCATGGGATGCAAGAAGCCACTTACCGCTGCGCATGAGAAGGACGGCGCCGTTTGTGAGAACTGCCGACCTCGTATTGCCGAGCTCTACACAAAGACGCTAGGCAAAGTCAGTGAGCTCGAGGTCCGCTTCTCACGTCTTTGGACCCAATGCCAGCGATGCCAGGGTAGTGTTCACTGTGAAGTCATCTGCGCATCCAAGGATTGCCCCATCTTCTACATGCGCATGAAGGCGAGGAAGGATGTTGAAGACGCAGGCAAAGAGCTGGTGCGTTTCGACAAGGACGCGGCGCTGTGGTAATTCAGTATTGGAATATCAGCAGGTGGTTAGTACGTGGTGTTTTTGGCGTTTCGATGGCATGGATATCCGTCTGTACAAATATGGGGGCTCACTAAGCATGTTTAAGATGCGTAGCGATATCAGCATGTATACTTCTCAATGGATATTGTTGCAATCACTTGTTGCGTTTTTTGTGTCTTGCGGTTGTTCCAGTGAAGACGCTGAAGCGCATCCGAACTTCCTCTATGCCCCTTCCTTCTCCACAAGCCGACTCTTGTCCGCGACAGTTTATTCACGACCTGGTGTTCCTTATACATCGCCACAACACTATCCCAATGCCTTAGGTATGGGTCTATAAACGCATCAGCGCCACATGCCCTCGAAGCCCCTCGTCCCTCCACTACCAAACCCCTCCTGTCCACGCGCTTGCCCCTCGTCCAGATCATGCGTCTCGCCGCTCTCCAGGCCAGCAACAAACATCTGGAAACTCCAGAGGAAGGTCTGGAAGAGCATGATCTCTTTCTGCTGTCCGAGCAGTCTCGCAATGACCTCCTGCATCTCTATAGAAGTAGTCCTAGTTGCTGCTGCGTAGTGTGTCTCGAAGGCAGTGTAGGCTACGACGTAGGCGTTGTTTTGGGTGATGTAGAGGTCTGTGAGCATGGTTTGGTGGGCGCGGAGAGTGGTGAGGAGGGTGGAGGTGGGTTTGGCTTCTGGAAGCAGGGGTCGTGAGGGCGTGGTTGGGTGGCGAGCTGTGAGAGCTGGTATGCTATGTTGGGAGTCGGACATCGTGGTGGTGGTGGTGGTGGTGATCTTTGGATCTGGGATCAGCTTTGGAGCTGCAGGAATATCTGAAGTGGCGAAAGTAGGCGATGTCACGGTTGTGATCAAGGCCGAGGGGAGAGGGTGTGCGCGAAATCGAGAATCGGAGTGAAATGGTGGGATGTGCAAAATGATCTTCATTGCCTGGCCAGAAGGGTTTAGGTAGCCGTGATGTATGTACTTGCAAGAAAATTAATGCCGGACTGCAGGTTTAACGACGAGAAAGCTTCATGTTGGGCTCATATTGGTCGATGCTCTGGGATTTCTCGGTGGTAGAGTGTCCGTCTCTGAGGGGGTATCGAATTTCCTTCTTGGTGGTAACCAATCTAGGCTTGTCTTGTTGTCCGCCGCGAAATCTTCTTCGCTGCTCCGTGTAACATTCCAGTGCGTATCCCGCCTAGAAGTCCTATTCCTGCTACTGCCAGTGGAAACAGCATCCATCTTGATCGTGCCTGCGTTGTTCTGGTCTGCTCCAGATCCACTCGGGCTGTGCCGAACGTATCCATTCGTATCATAAGATATGCTAGGCGTGTAGGCACGGCGAAAGAACACAGCAAACGCAGGGCAGCAACCAATGCAGATAGCTACAGATGACTCGATGAGCGTCCAGAACGCTAGCCAGGTCGGACTGGGTGCTGTGCTTTCTCCGGACTTTCTGCCGACCTGTATAACGCGTAGAGTGGCGAAGGTGATGCAAACGAAGCCAGATGCGAAGAGTGCGATGATAGCGATCTTCTGCGCGGGTACCATTTGAAGGTTCCAGACAAGTCGGATTGGTAGAAACATGACTGGCAGCATTAATACCAACGTTTTTAGTAGGAAGGATCTATCACATACTCATGAGGTCTGATAGGATATCGACGGCGTAGGACATGTACAGGCTAACAAGCTGGGCACGAATATTTCGGGGGGTATTTGGGCAGTCTCCTCTGGCTACCAAGGCGGTGAAATCGGGACAAGAAGTAAGATAAGAAGCGATACAGCCGAGAACAGACTACGTCGGAGGTTTTAGTGTGGTTAAAGAGCGTGCAATAATATAGACTTACAACTATACAAAATGTGAATACTGCCCACCAAAGTCTTGTCCATACACGCGGAAGGCCCTTTAGTAATTTTTTGTACAGTGCCAACAGAGACAGCTTGACCGACCATAGCGTCAACCAAAACAGTACAGTGGTAACGAACACAATCCGAACGTTGAGCACGAAGTCGGACTGGAATGTTGGCCAAGGTTCAAGTGATCCTACCAGAACCTTTGAAATGTCGAAGATTGTAGAAATGTTAACCAGGTAGCATATCGACAAGGCGAGGAACAATGCAAAAGCTAGGTACATGAGATAGTCTTGCAACTCCATAGCTTTGCGCCTCCACACCTGCACGCCTATACGTACGAGCATGATGGCTGAAGCTAATACCACTATAGCGTAAGAGGCCCGAAAGAACTCGGGCTCTGATATGATCTCTTTGTACTGGGCAGACATGGCTCGGTGTCTGACATCGGACTGTATCGGCCGCTGACTGACCTCGGGTGTATAGAAGGGAATGCGCAACGATGGTAGAAGAGTGTAGTCACCACAGTAGACATCGTCCTTTTCTCTTTTTGCCTGAACAGCACATATCAGTCCCCAAGGTGATCAATAATCTTATGCTCAAAGAGCGGCCAGCTGCAGCATAGATCTAGAAAAGCAGGTCCCATAAAGTGCGGCACAGTACATCCGTGGTCCCCTCGCTGCATAAGGCGTGGCAGGGGTCGGACACGGCCCGGCGTGGGACGCGAATTAGGTTGATTCCTCTCAGGTTGGGGCCAAGTCCTTGAGGCTCGGTTAGCAGATGGTCAATCTAGAATTGAATCCTACGGTGGCGATATCTAGGTGTGGACATAGCAGCCGTCCAAGAGCTTCGGCCCCGGCCGTCGCGAGCGAAAACTTAGTCTTGTTCGTATATGTAGAGCGTTCCAAGTCAAGCTAGATGATGGTTCTGAACGGGAGGCGTTCTGGCATCCCAACAATATGTATTGGGGTGATGTGAGTCATGCTGCGATGCGTCTCGCATCGTGCTATGAGAGCGGCGAAGTTTAAACGCCACTTCGGATGTTCTGGCGGATGCAGGAACGTTAGTGCCGCTAGGTAAAACAAGGGGTTGTGCCGCACGGGCTAGGGCTTATCTAGGCGGTGGCATTGGCGGAGACACCCGCCCAACTTCACGAGCTAGCAGCCCGCATATCATTTAGCCACGTCTTCCATCAGCACAAGTATACGCGTCTTCCCACGACTGTCGTCGCCAAACATGTATACCCAAGTTCTTCTCAATACTGAGCCATTTGCAAATTCACCGGTCCGAGCAGACATGACTCTCCACAAACTCAACTTCACCTGCGGGCGTCTTTTGAACGGGTGCTATGATGCGAAGGATGCTGCCGTGTGCAGTGGGGTCATGCAGACCAGGGGAAGAGAACTATATGCATGTAACGTGAGCGTTGGCAAGGATCTCGGTAATACTGCCTCTTCGTCATTTTAGGTCAAACACAGAAGCGCGATGTACGAAGTCAGTATATGTCTCACACGCAGTCCGTACATGGGAGATTTTACCAAGCAGGAACGAAGACCATGACCGCCAGACTAATGGACTCAATCGACAAGCATCGCAAACTACGGACGCATAAAAAAGCACACCCATGGAAATATCTAAAAGATGGTGTTTAGTTCATCTAAACCTACATGTTGAGATCTTCACTGGACTAGAAACAGACAGGGGTTTGGCTGACTCATCCCGAGGTCTTCGATGTACACATGTGCACTGCATGCCAGCTTACCCTTTCTAAGACTGAAGGCATGTACAAGGATAGAAACGCCAACAAGCCCGTCGATGTCGGGCTACAGCATTCCCCGCGCCCGGCACATCGCCGAGGATTCGCACGTAAGGTTGGAATGATAAAAGGATGCCGTTCCCTAGTACTGGGTCGCAACCACCATCATTGCAGATTCCTTCCTGTAAATGCGCAGCGTTCTTCCTGCGCCCAGCACAATCGTGTCACATTCGGGCAATTCTTTTCGTAAACCCTGTTTGTAGATCGATCCTGCTTTTCCGATCGAAAGGATGAAGTACGCCGTCTCATCTGCTGCCTTGGTGGCAGGCGTCGTATCCCAAGCTACTTTCGAACCCGCAGACTTCAATGTAACTGAGGCATTGCTCAATAATGGTGTTAAAGTCTCTGCTTTACCCGAGCTTGCACCTTTAGCAGAGAGATCCTCATTGGATGGCTGCTCTATCGCCGTAAGTACTGATGAACGACCATGCAAAATTCGTAAAGACTAACATGTCGTCAGTGTAACTCGTTGAAGTTGATCTTTGGTGACGACCAAGTCGAGACACAGTCTGAAGCCGCATACGATGCGTTCATCGGCGATTACTGGGCCGGTCAACAAAGAGACATCTCTCCACAATGTGTCTTCAAACCTGAGAAAGCCTTGGATGTCTCAACTTCCATCCTTCTCTCACGTCTTACGCAATGTCCTTTCGCCGCTAAGAGTGGAGGCCACTCAGCAGTACCCGGCGGCTCGAACATCGAGGGTGGTATCACAATCAGTTTCGAGAAGATGAACAAGACAACAGCATCTTCTGACAAGAAGAGCGCTACGTTTGAGCCTGGCCAAACATGGTACGACGTGTACACAAAGCTTGAGAAAGATGAAGTTGCCATCATTGGTGGTCGAGTAAGTAGGACTATGTGAGGATAGAGAGGCGTGTCACTGATGATTGCTTAGGTTGCTAGTGTCGGTGTGGGTGGGCTAACTCTAGGCGGAGGTAAGGACCAGAATATCACAACACTACCAGTCAACATGCGCTGAACCAATCTTCAGGCATCTCCTACTTCTCAAGCGTATACGGCTTGGCATGCGACAACGTCATCTCATATGAACTGGTCACCGCTTCTGGACTTATCATCAACGTCAGCAAGGATTCGTTTCCAGACCTCTACTGGGCTCTTCGAGGGGGTGGCAACAACTTCGGTATCGTCACCAAGTTCAACGTCAATGCTATCCCCAGAGCGCCAACCATGTGGGGTGGTATGCGAGCATATTACGGAAACCAATCCGAGACTCTCATAAAGGCGTACTACAATCTCGGCATGAACGGAAAGAACGACGGAAAGGCACATCAGATCTTGTCGTTCGGCTATGGGGCTGAAGTCGGGGAGATCGCTCAGGTCGAGCTGGAATACTCAGACCCTATCACTGACGCACCAGTCCTTGCCGAGTACAACAGCATCAAGGGAGCGATCTCAGACAAAGCTGGAATCAACAGCCTCGCAAACCTTACCGCGAACCTAGCGGCCCCAGGTGCAGCTGCTCGACAGGCGTTCTGGACCTGGACGACTAAGCTTGACCTGGAAATGGCCACTCTGGCTAAAGACACCTTCTATGAGGAGCTTGACAGTATCCTCGACGTACCCGGTCTTCTTGGAGCTGTTTCGCTCCAGGTGCTGACCGACCCTATCATTGAGAAAAGTGCCACCAATGGAGGTAATGCGCTTGGGCTTGACCCTAAGGACGGCCCTCTCATGTTAGCTCTTGTGTCCATGAGTTGGGCCAACAGCGGGGACGATGACAAAATGAACAAGTTCCACGCACGCATCAAGGACCGCTGTGTGGCGGCAGCCAAGGCTAAGGGCAAAGCAAACGAGTATCTGTACATGAATTACGCCAGCCCGTGGCAGGATCCCGTTGCTGGATACGGCCCCGCGAATAAGGCCAGATTGCAGGCCATCTCTAAGAAGTATGATCCTACCGGTGTGTTTGAGATTCTCCAACCCGGCTACTTCAAACTCAACGGCCCACCACGGAATGATTTGTAAAGGGTTCAATTTTGCACATCTGGCACACGGTAGCCACAGTCAAACAATTCATGTTGTTCATATGATCTATTTCCCTCTCTTCTGGCGCTGCTGTGATAAGCCTCTGCTTCCG